GTGATTGTTGTAAAATATGTTTCACGATTTGCTTTTACATGTTATCATAGTTATCCTTTTGCAGTGTTTATTTTCTTTTCGAAATGTTTGGTTGTTTTCAGATACAATTACAATACTAATATTGAATTTATATCTCTCTCCAAAGTAGTAAAATATACATGCATCCTTATGTTTCAGTGAATACATCTCCCATCATGCAATACTGTTTAGGAACACTGATTCAGACGACAGGTGATTACAGAGCAGACGCTGACTGTGACGATCACGTGACGGCACCTACGACTGTTTATACAAATATCCAACCAGATCGTATCCAGGTTGAGTGGCATAACAGTTACACAGGTCCTAACGCCGCTGATTGGCCACAACAGTATTATGTGGAAGATTTCAAAGTTGGCGTAATTTCAGCATCCTATGATTGGTGGGTCATCAGAGGTGAGCGTTACAGACACGTTTTGTTTTATTTCGTATATCGAGTTGTTCGCAATGTGCGTAATATATGTTCTCACCATCCAATACCCCTATGTCTATGTAGGTGAAACTAATGTCAAAAGTGGGATTGTCACGTGCTCTATTGGATACAGTCAGGACAATCCACATCAAGCTATGCACGACTGTGACGTCACGGGTGATATTGTTTTCACCTTTCAACATGAAGACAGGTACGACTACAAATAGAGATATAAACATTGCTTTGATTAATCGTATTTTTTATGTTGTATTAAATAATTGATTAATTTGAGTTTACATACAAATTCAAACTTTAAGTTCAAAGTTCATTTTGTCATAAATATTTATAATATAATCTTTTCGGATTGCTTTTTGGCAGGTTTTACTTCACAGCAAAGGCTCGCAATGGTGGTTACATTACTATAAGAAATTATGATGCAACCTCTGGTTACACGATTAATCCCAAGAATTACTACACAGGCGTTGATGTAGCACATACAGCAGACTTTACTCTGGACTATCAGCCTCCAACACATTGTACAGTTACCGGAAGTTGTTCTGATCATATGCTCGATAGGGGCCCAGCGATAACTAAAACTGTGAGTCAACTTTGTTGCATTAAAGTTGCATTCTTAATTTTATTATATGCAAAACACTGATTATTGTGACCACCATAAAATATAATAAAATCAGTTGGTTTGGCAAGAAATCCTGAAATAATGTAATAGAGAAGACGTCAGTGAATGCCTAACAAAATGTTGTAATCACTCAAAGTCTGTTTAGGAATGACTTCTAAACTCAATTCCGTGATCACATGAATACTGATACTTTGAATGGTCAGTGAGAGTTTTTTTTACAGATCATACAATGTGTCATATATTGTTACAGATTGGTTCTTCACCAAGAGTCTGTAAATGTACGTTTCATCAAACGCGCACTCCAAAATATACTACCCGTTCTTACCAAAGCCACGAATAGACTACTGCTACAGTGTAATCATATACGGAGTGAGTGTGAATTGTTCGACAAACATGAATATATGGTCGGATATCTCGATATCTTAAGGCTGGTCGTCTCGTTGCGAAGTGCCAATGCCACTTGACTAGTTCACACTCTTAAGTGGCAGAGATAGCTTCGCCGAGTGTTGTCTGTTGTAGTGTTTTTTTTCAATGTTTGCACTGTTTCCAATCCGTGCCGAATTCACTCTTTTGCATCATATTTCCTGTGTCCGCGGCATTTCTGGACAATAGCACTTTGCCTAACTGATGCTAATGGAATTCAACGAAACTCAAACGACACTGACTTGTGAAGACGGCAGCGAATGTTCACATTGTTTGGTTATTTTGTTTTCTCCGCACACACTCTGCTGGTATATTGCTATAAATACCAAGCTTCCAATTAGCTACGTTTGGTGGCATGAGTACGCTCCGCCAGGTCGTGTCACGGGTGACTGTCAAATTTTAAATAAAGTATTGTTTTCACCCATTGAACACGTCTACTGTCATTGTAGACCATGTCCACTTTCAACTACGAATAAATCAACATGTGATAGTGTTGTTACGTAGTTTTTAAACTTTGTTGTGTATTTGATTGCTTAATAATCACTACTACTTCTTAATATTTCTATTATCTCCACAGCGTGATATAACTGTTCAGTATATTGGTTGGCATGACGATCTGTCTGGTATACTACGATATGAGTATGAAGTATATAAGATGCAAGCATATGGTGATGTATTAGGATATAGGTCAATACCCCCCGTGATGAGCGGACAAGTAGATCCACCAGCTAAACAGTTTACTATCACATTAAATGACCCAGGTATAGTAGATCTACCAGGTACACATTTTTCTATCCAATTAAGTACCCCAGGTATATTATATCTACCAACTACACAGTTTACTATCTCATTAAATGACCCAGGTATAGTAGATCTACCAACTGCATAGTTCACTATCTCATTAAGTAATCCAGGTATAGTCGATCTACCAGCTACACACGTGCAATACAATTACAGCCCATAGAACTGATAAATTCAACATATTAAATAAATAAATGAACATATCCTTACATTCCAGGAGTGTATTGTGTTATGCTGACTGTCGATGACGTAGCTGGTAATCATATTAGAGCCAGGCGATTCCTAATATTTGATGATGTCAACGGAGTTAATACAACAGACCAGTTCCCTATCTGGGTTGACTCTGCAGCGGAAAATACAACCCACATTTGGCAAACTGATCTTCAAGATTCAAATAATACTGGGCCACAAGTAAGAGGTCGCTGTCTTTCTTCTGTAGTCCATAGCTTCAGGAGGCCGTTGGTGCACCCATGACCACACGTACCTCCTCCAGCCATTTCTGTCATCACTAAGATGCTATATGGTAAATGCTGCTCTCCATTCTCTGTCCATTCTTTGATGTCACCTTTCCCATTCTCTTCGTGGCCGTCCACTGTTTCTGCATCCTTTAACCTTCCCTTGCATAATACAATAGGTTTTGTCAGACTGTTTACAGAGGACGCTGTAAACAACACCAAACTATAACAATAAGTGTCATGCCATAGAGTGACAGACACGTACGTCGGCACGAAAAGCAGGCGTACGTCGTTTCGGTGCAACCTGGTCTGTCGTGATGTAGTGCTATGAAGACAGAATCGATGAAACGCCGACCACGACATTAGTTTGGTTGGCCAATTTTACATATACATAATAGCTAGTACGTCATATACATCTCATTGTGTTGACGGTATTTCCTTTTATAGACTATAAATATATGCAATGACTCCCTCACAGATAGTGCTGCAATGGCCAGGACACTTTTATAACTGGTTTCACAGGGAACACAAATTTCTTAATGCCATTGAAGATAATTCACCTCCATTGACGCCAGATTATGAAGAAGTCACAGGTCAACCTCCAACAACCAGATCACGTGAGGCAATACCGAATGTCAACGCCATCGTTCGATTCGAAGTAAATTACGGTATAGACCACCAGGGAGGGCGTACTATCACTTCTTCTTCTGAAAACTGGCGAGACGTTGATAATATTAAGGTGAGTGGTGACGTTCAATCCGCATACCACTACGAGAGTATTTTTTTTGTCCTAAACCTTGTATATTATCTGGTCTCCGATTGTTTATATGTCCTTTGTCTTCAACTAACCTTTCTTTTTTTCTACAGGTAGAAAAGCAAAAAATTAATATACCTCGCCGCGATGGCGATTCCATTCATTTATGGGTGAGAGCTACAGATGTGATGGGCAATACAAACCAGGACGATGTACTGATTCACGTAGATTCGTCACCGCCAGA